GGTGTCCCATCACTAATCAGGGGCATTCTAGTAACTTCCTGTATCATTGTACTACACCATAATATAAATAATAGTACTGTCGACTGAGTAGAAAGTTCGACATTCCTGCATCTCTTCTTCTTCTTCTTCTCTTTTCTGCTACTTCGGCTACAGTAATTTAGCTTTCAAAGCCCAACAATTTTAACTTGGAGGGTTCCATCCTCTAATTCCTTTTTGTTGCAAGATGGGTTCCAATTTTCAATCGTTGCCTTCCCTTCATAGGTGTTCACTTTGGTAATTTCCTCCTGGAGGCTACCCAAGTCAAGAATGGTTGTGACTTTGGCAAACGGTATAAGAACTGCCTTCTAAACCGTAGGAAAGGCTAACATAACATCATTCAGGACACTTTCCCAGCCTTCAACTTTCTTGGCCACTCCTATTACCTTCCGTTTCTACCATTCCTCCAGATTGTCTTCCTCCATTAGCGTCAAACAAAGAGACACTCCACACATACCTCTGACTAACTTCGCTTTCCCTATCTCATTTTGTGTCTTAATTTCTTGTCTAGCCTCTGAAGATTCCAAAGGAACTGCAGGGGGGTTAGTCGTCCTCTCCACAAACCATCTTCTCTGAACAAAGTCATCTAAGGCTTCAACAAACTTCAACCAACCCTGTTTTCCCCTCCCTTCTATAATACACACCATCTGTTGCTTACCACTCCCAAACAACCCATTCAACTAGATGAATCATCTCTGTTATTACTCTTCTTCTCCACAACAAATTTCTTCCCTTGTAAGCATAGTTCTCCTTTCCAGCCTGACTCATTGATTGCAAAAGTCATTCCATTGGTAAAACCTTTAAGTCAATCAGTAGCCTCTCTGTTTAGAACTACCATATCTCTTTTGTCTTGTTGGATTTTGGGTACTGAACCTCCCCCTGTTTCTTCCATCAGAAACCTTTTCTTTCCACATCCAGAATCTTCCTCCATCTCTCTAACGCTACGCAGCATGTTGGTACCATGGGGAAGGAGACACCCCAGGTGCAAGTGTCCACTCCCCTGACCATCCTCTTGTAATGTACAATTGAGGAACAGATGTCTGTCACTCCTCCTTTTCATGCCTGTTAACCATTCAAGTTCTTTCTCCTTTAAGCCATGTTTAGTTTGAAGGAAAAGGTAGGGAAAGGAATCGAAAGACAGGGAAACCAATACAAGGTTTGTAAAGGTTTCCCTACATTTTCCTTCAAACCAAACATAACCTTAACTGATCCACTATCAATACCACCAGCCCAACAATGTTAAAACACTTGTACTAAGTTCCCCCAAATCCTTCTAACAATAGGTGTTTCTGTTAGACAGTTTTGTATGCCCTTAGCTTCAATCCGATTTGATGTACTTTTGACATTTAGTGTAAATAAATAAAGTGCATGTTTGATTCATGTTGTTTGGCATAATTATGTGTAAGACCCTAAAACTGGACACTTATAGAGACTCGTATTAGTTTTAAATGTTCACAGCCATT